GCTTAAGATAACGAGAAGGAGTTCAAGTCTTTATTTGAAAAGACTAATCGCCATAGGCGAACAAGATCAAGAACTAGGGCCCTGGTTCACAGCAAGCAGCCTTGGCGGCACAGTTGCAGCAAAACGATGTCTGTTTCATGAGGAAATCAAGAACTAAACAAAACCCAAACCCTAAGGAGAGTGATGGCTGGTATTTATAGAGTCTTGGGCATCACCCCCTGGACGCGCCCCCTAATGGGCCCAAACACGATACATGGTCCAACGGACCAAAAGACGGTGTCGCAGCACCTGACAGATTTTGGACGCTGACTTGTGACCATGATTCCCGTTGACTCTGAACATATTTTGACGTGAGACCACTTGTATTGGCTTCCTTATCAAATTAGCTTTCCATCCATATGTGGATCATCGAAAACGGAGTCCGGATGCATCCTGGGTGACCAGTTTAAGGTAGACTGGTCCTGGAGGCCGAGATGGACTCGAACTTGATTTGGGTCTCCACCTTGGTGACTCAAACTGTATGAGCTTCGGGCCTCCATCTCGCTTAGGACACCCTCGCTGATCTCCTTGGTCTTCATATGGTTCTCCAAGCATGGTCATATGTATGGAGGTCATGTCCTCATCAACAGCAATGAGGTGGACAACCAACACCTTAGGCTTTGTCCTTAGGAGGATGAGCCAACTGATTAAGTAGGGCTAGAGCTGATAAGGGGTTCAAGGAGAAGGAGGTGAACCAGGTAGTCAAGCTTCTGAGAGAGTATAGTGGTGAGGAAGTGACCTCCACCCAGATGTACAACCACCTGAGGAAGTGGAGGTAGAGGTGGGGTAGAATCTGCAAACTTAAGGATCTTAATGGATCCCTGTGGGATGAGGATGTGAGGGCAATCATGCTAGATCCTAAGCATTATATTGGTCATATCAAGGTATTTGTTCATTAGTAAACTGCCTCTCTTCTTCTCTGTCTTATTCACTACCTGGACTAACAGTCTAGGAAATAATAACTGCAGGACCACCCAAAAGATGCTGAGCTTCTAAACGCCCCCCTGAGGTTCTATGATGAGATGCAAACCATCTTTGGTAGTGGTATGGCCACTGGTAGGTTTGTTGTTGTCTCAAATGAACCCTTAGGTGTGAACTCTTACCAAGCTGACAGTGGCTTAGGAAAAGTGGAAGGGTCACATGGCAACCATGCTAGTAGGGAGAAGACTGATCAGGGGAAGGCAGCAAGGCAACTGAGCTGCTTCCCTTTGATGGTGGTAGGAAGAGGAAGAGGGCCTATTTTAGTGAGGAGGAGGTCCTCATCATGACCAACATGACAGAAGCAGTTAACAATGTAGCCAATGCCCTTAGGGAGACTGGCCCTGCTCATGTGGATGCTGACTTGTATCATGCTGTGATGGACATGCCTGGCTTTAGTGAGGAAGCCCTCATTGTTGCCTTCTCCCACTTGCTTGACAACAAAGCCCAGGCCACTGCCTATGTGAAGATGGTTGACAGTCACAGGGTTCTGTAGCTAAGGACCTTCCTTGCCAAGCACTACTATTTGTAGATGCTCTAGGGCCTACCCTGGACTTGGAGGGAAGTAGTTGAGGATTATATATGCCGTCCTCCACCCTCCACCACTCTCCTTGACTGACTTTTGGAGACTTTTGCTCTTGTGTTCTAGCTATGCAGCACTGACGGACTAACACACTACTTTTGGGTTTGTTGTTCTTCTATGATTGAGGAGGTGGGTAACTATAGCTGGCATGTAATGGGAACTTATGTGGGGATGCTCCATGGACCCCTGGCTGTTGAACTATTGAACCATTCGGTGGCTACATGCCATGTAATTTGTAATATAATCAGTTGGGCCTAATGTTTTTTTTGTTTTCTTGCTGGTTTGCTGATTCTGATGTTTGAGGCCGATGATGACACAATTTTGTATACAGGTGGCGCTGCTTATGATCTGGCGAATGCGGTTCTCATGGCTGTCATTAAACCGTGAGATACATCCATACCCAAGCAAGAGCTCTTTCTACTCTTTGCTGATGGATCGGGTTGGATGTGTCTCACGATTCCATGGTTGTCATGAACTTGGTTATTTTGACTGTGATGGTTTCCTGCTAGTTAAGGCCGATGATGACACAAGGTTATGTTATAGAGGTGGCATTGCTTATGCTTCTATCTGTCTTTGTGTTGGTTTCTTGGTTCTCATGGCTATCATCAAAACATGTGAGACATCCATACCCAAGCAACTGCTCTCTCACTGATGCTCTGATGGCTTGGGTTGGACGTCTCTCATGCTTCCATGGCTATCATGATCTTGGTTTTCTACTGTCTACATTTGGCTTCTCCAGGCAAACAAACACGCCCTCCTCTGTTTTGTTCTATTTGCTACTTTATCAATGCCACCAGTGACTATTATGAGAAGGTATTAAATCATGATTTTGTCTAAGGCCACATACCTTTTTCTTTTGCCTATGATGCAATAGATGAATAGCTGAGGCATTTCTACAGCTGCCTATGATGTCTACTGCACCTTTACCATGTGTATTCCAACGGTTTATTTCTTGAGTTTGTCTACCACTACAACTGGACTAGACAGCCTCATTGAACAAACCGGTGGCTTGCACCTGAAACATTTTTTACTGAGGCTTTGCTGCTTGTTAACTGCAGAACAATGTGTGCTTGGTATGTTGTTTTCAACGGAAAGCAACCTGGTGTTTACACCAGTTGGGCTGAGTGCAGTGAGCATGTTCTGGGGTATCGTGGAGTTGTGCATAAGAAGTACAGCTCTTATGAGCAAGCAATGGCTGCTTTCAATTCAACTACCAACTCAATGCCTTCCTCTAAACCTTCTTCTTCTCTAACTGTCACTGAAAGTGGAGAAACAGCCTCTCCAATGAGTTACAAAAATGTGATCATACTCTTCCTTTGTGCTTTGGTTGTTGTGATGTGGATGAGGCTAAACAGATGCAACAGCTGTTAGAGTAATTGTTATTGGATGTATCAATTATTTAGTACTTGTAATCTGTGATTTAGCATGTTGTAATGTCACTGAATTTGTGTAAATTGTCATCTAATTAGTACTGCTAAACTACATTGGCATGGTTATTTGCTCAAATGTTGCAACAGCTGCTCTATTGCCTTGTGTATGAAAATTGTGATATTGAGATGCATGGCGAGCTGTCCAGGCAACCAAACACCATCCCAACCGGACAGTTGGGAGGTGGTTGGGAACACTGGCAGCAGGACCAGGCAAACAAACACATTCCTGCATGGGCCTGGCCCAGTTGAGAAAAATCACCAAACAAGGTGCTGCTGCACTTGCTGGGCCTGGCCTTACCCAGCCTAGCTGGGCTGGTACATGCAGGCTGGGGGCGTCCAGGCAAACAAACATGCCATCAAGCTTTCTGTTTTGTCGAGTCAAACCGACAGATCATAACGCTATGCATTTTCAGTTTTCAGTTCATCGAGTCAAATGGATGGACAGATCATGAAGCAGCAACCAAGCTCGGTCTTACATACGGTCTTTCAAGATTTTTAGTGTTCAGGTGACGTTCAGTTTTGCTGTTGTTTAAAGCTCAGTATTCTTTTTATCATAATTAACGTCGGTAGAAAATTTGTCGAGTTGGTGAAGATTTTTGTTATCCTAAGAAGATGATGCAGAATGTAAGTTTGTACTTCTTTGTTTGCAATTGCAATATGTCCATAGACCTTGACTGCGATTTGTACATTGCATTTTTTGAGGGGGCGGGGAACAGAGGCTTCTAAAGTGTCATTTCTTTTGTCATCTTTTTGTGGATGAAGCTGCCGTGTCTAATCAGTTGGCCTTATTATTATTGATATTCTGTTTCCCCCCTTTTGTCTGTGCGTTGGATAGAATTGTTTCTGAAACATTGCAGAGATAGCTTGGTCGCTTCAACCTGCTTGGAGTTTAAGACTTTGTTGCTACTGCTTTGCATCGGCGTCGCACAACGTAATGGTCTCGCTGACAGTTCTGTGGTGGAAACTGCATCTTCAGAGTTAATGCTGACGATAGATGCAAGGGAGTAATTAGATGATACTCCATTATTATATTTACTACAAGGGAGTAGATGATACAGCCATAGATCAGTGTAGTGGTATGGAGCTGTAAAGTTTAGCGCCAAGACTCCATATATATAAATAATGATTTAAGGCAAGCATAACATAGGAAACGTAATATCCATGGAAACTGGTGTAACAGTGGGTACTGCCCAAAAACACACACAAGAAACAGGAGTTCCTTAGCTTGGGCTTTTGCAATCTGTCATGTCAATTCCTGCATCTCTGCTCAACTGCATATGCAATGGGTTCCGAATGGTTGATGGAAGTAATTCATCAAGCATTCTCACCTAGAGTTTGCAGGCATGCCATCAGCACCGTGGCTGCATGCTTACAGTGGACACGAGCCCTCGAAATGGGGCCCCGCAAATCCATACTATGCAAACCTGAGGCTCTGCCCAAGCCATGGCACGTGATGCTAGATGACCTCTTTATTACTCTTCAGCAACAAGAGCATATACTGGAACAATCAGGGAAAGAAATAACCCTGTTCGCTCGATAGTTTATAAGCCCGCTGATGCTGTTTTATTGTGAGAGAAAAACATTGTATCATAGCTAATAAGCATGGCTGATACGATCAAGCTGATAACTAGGGTGATACCTGGCACACATATCTATATATATATTTATGAGGTCCAAAATAAACCTATCATTAGATTTAGATTGACGAAATATGGTGCCGTGAGAGAATCTCTAAGCACTCCACTCCAATACCGCCCCTAAATCTCATACTCTACTTCATGTGAGCAAGCAAGTTCCAGGTCCTAGAGACCAATTATCACCGAGACGAGGTATCTACAAAAGCTTTCCTGCAGCCATGCCATTTCCTTGTTTCTACTACTTCTTACTTCCAGAGACTCATCTCTATCGTCTCTACCTTAGGAACTATTACTACTACTGCTACCTCTACCTGCACCAGCCTTCCATGCTTCTCAGGTGGCTGCAGGTTGTTTCTTCTTTAACTTCTCGACAATGAACTTCCTCGTGTCCGCACCCTTGACATTGAATTCCATCAGAAGATCTTCGTACAGCACCTTCAAGCTCGGATTGAATGAGCATGAGCTGCGTCTGTTTGGAGGGATTGCCTTGATCACTCCTGGCTTTGGCTTTGGTGCACTGCTGCTACTGCTGGATGCTCCCGCATCACCGCTTTTGTATTCTGACTCTTCCTCGTCCTCTGGCACTACTGAGCCAATATCATTACCCGCCATGTAGTGCTTGCATGCTGCGAGAATAATGTGCCCATGCACCCGGAAGTGGCCAGCGACAAGGTCTGCAAAGTGCTGTGAGGACAACACAAGCCAAAGGTGGTCAGTTCAGCTACACTACAAGGCAGCAGAAGCCGAAATTCAATTGTACTTTGCTGAACCAGTAATTTAGAAACAAATTACCTCTGGAGGCCTCCGAAGTGAGTATAACATAGTCCTGCATGAGTACAGAAAGGTCCTGTCATTATAGTCCAAAGCCAACCGCTCTCCCTGCGGATCGTTGGCATAGGACTCATATCCTGGCTCGTTGTAATATGGCTTATCATTCAAAATGAGAGCTTGAATGGAGACAAGAACTTGCAGCATTGTTGATTGAGCTGGATTCCAGTTCTCACAACCTCTACCACTCCAGGTACCCAACAGGCTAAGACACACTTTTCCAGTCTCATACAAGTTTGGATTAATCCGAAGTCCTCCAGAGTGGTAATATACCACCTGTAACCCCCATCAGAGATAAAAATTTCAAGAGAATGCAAACATGATAACAAATAATAAAAAAAGAATAGTAACATGCCAAAGCTTTTGGTATATATACCGGAGGGCCAGAAGGATACGTAGGCGGAATGTGAACATCAAAGAAGAAAAGCCCATCATGGTATGGTGTTCCCTTGGGCCCAATAATCGCAGCCCTAAGAAGATCCATTCTATCTTCAGCAACCCGGACATATATATATGCTGCACAGAAGAAAACCATTGGAATCTATACCTCTATAGTCTATAATTGTTGGAGTTAACAGAGAAATAATCAGCCAGGGCTACTCTCCCAGGCGACTGCATTGCAATATATAGAGGATAAGTACTGCATTGATTACATACAGCTCACTAGAGCTTTAACTAGACAGAATATCTGCCTGGGTACCCGCACAACTCTTGGGCTACCCAAGGACTTAATGACATGGATTAACTAAAAACTTAAATACACTAAATGTGCCTGGGAAGCAGGGCTTACAGCTACAATAATATACGAAAAATACATTGAAACAATGTACAATCAAAAAGGAAGTGATAGCTAGTCCAACACTTCACAAAGGAAGTAATAGTTAGTCCAACACTTTGACGATCTGTGAAAAAAATCATGGCAGTACTCTTAAACTTCTACACAGATCATATACAAAAAAGGGTAAGATGTTCAAATGAGTGTATTACACTCAAGTTTAAGTGCTTAACAAAGATAAGAGTATGGGACGCAATGATACATGAGGATAGATATATACAGGCCCTTACAGATAGATATAGTTCAAAGTAACTAAACAATATTACTATATCAAACTTATCACTTCTTTCAGCTAATTGAATTTTTTATAACTTGAAAGGTAGCCTGGTCTTAGGAAGCAAGGGTGGACACTGGCTGATCAGCTATAGGTGTGGCCACACCATTTTCAATGTTGATTTTGCCCGTAATGTTTGTTGGTCCAACTTAAAAGGGCCCATACTATTACTAAGCTATACAAGGAACAAAAACTACGATACTTTGCTTATAGCTATAACCTGGTAGATCCTTCTCCAAAAGTTTCCAGTCATGTTGAACTCTCTTTGACCAGGCTCTGTTTGGCTGAAACAATATATACATGGAAGAATAGGTAAGCACTCAAACAAAGCAGAAGACAAGAGCACATACTAGTTGAGCATCTCACCTCTCCATGAGAATTCTCAGCATAGTGATGGTCAGAGAAATTCTGAACAGTGTCGAACTGCTTGAACTGCGTAAATTTATTTACATTCTCATCTGCAGTATTTGATTTAGGTGGCTCCTTGGCTTCTTCCTTGGGTGCAATTTTCTGCAACCATGGTACGGTGGCCTCCACGCCTGGAGGAAGATCCAAATCATCAAATTTATCAGCAAGGTGCTGGTTAAAGTCAGCTTCATCAAAGTCATAATCATCTTCGTCATAGCCATCGTCGTCATCATCACAATCCTCCTCCATGTAGTAATCTTCTTCTTCTTCTTCTTCTTCTTGGATTTGTTGTGGTTCTGGTTCTGATATTTTCAGAGAACTACTTGAGCTGGAACCAACTTGATCACTTGAAGAACCCTGTAAAACAGTAGGCTAGTCAGTAATTATACCGAGCAAAGCACGAAAAGGACTGTTCCGCGATCCAGAAACCTATATTTAATTAGTCGTGTGGATTGATTGCCAATGTGTAATATAAAATTCTGAATAGGACAAATGCACAAATGCATCTTTATCATAAAGGCCAAAACAACCGCTGCAATGCTTATGGCACTGGAACTTAAATCCTTTCCAGGATGAAATTAAATCGCAGCAAAGTCATCTCCTGACACAATGTTCAGGTACAAAATCACCGATATGCTAGATTAATTAAACAAACAAAATCAACCCAATTTATGACCGGCATTGCATCAATGAACCCAAGAAAGGACACATACTGCACCAACACGCCCCCAATTGTATCATATTCGCTACCAACTCATCCCCAGGGAACATCTCGCCACCTGAATTGCCGCGTCCAAATCTCAAACCCTAGTGCCCTGAGAAACCCGACGTCACCGAAAACCCCAATCCCGGCTGCAACGAAACCCTAAACGACACGCAAATCCGGCCGATGGCGGAAACCCGCGAGGATTTCAAAGGGTGCGCGAGAAGGCGACGAATCAACCAGCTCCGGAAGGGGGGAACTGGGGAACGGAAAGCGAAACGAGCGGGAGGTGACCTGGCATCGCTGGCGCTTCTGCTGCTGCGCGGCTCCCCACGACGACGCGTCCGCCGTGCACCACGACGAGGAGCTCCCCTGCTGCAAGGCGCGGTACCTGCAGGAGCCGACAGCCCGAGGCGATCATCATCCTTCAAGGAAAAAAATAAAAAATCGCCAAAGAGGAGGAAAAGAAAACCCCCGCGTGCGAAAGAGAGACGCGCCGTCGCATCGTGGCGGCGACCGGCGAGGTGGTTGACGTACTCGGTGTCCATGTCGTCCGCGGCGGGCGGCGCGGATGGTGGGCCGCCGCGCGATCGCGTTGCTCGGGGTCGGCGTTCGATCGATCGGAAGGGAAGGCTTGCGCGGCGGATTCGCTGACGATTTATTCAGGCTCGTGCCACGCCAGCCAGTGAGAGCACGCCGCACCCGGTGACGTGTGGGCCCACAAGACGGGATCCCCTGCTGAGCCTACTTGTCAGTGGCTGCGCTGCGATGCGATGCGGCCGGATTCGGCGTTGTTAGTTTTTTCTTCTTCTTTTGATTTGATTTGATTGATGGGAGAAGTTGTTATTGTTAGATGGAGTGGTATAAGGATTAGATAGAAGAAGATGGACGGATGGATGTCGTCGGGGGAAAGCAAAGCGTCGTTGGCGGCGGCTGGTTGATAGGGCCCACTTGTCAGTGTTTATATTTGCAAAAGAAATTGATCTATGAAAAGAAGTATTATAACCTAAAGAGATCTGCTAGCGTCCGGACGTTCGGACGGACATGGACGCCCGCGCCTGTAGTCCGCTTCTCGTCCGAGAGCTGCCTCAAGCCGCCGCCGACCACTGTTGCAGGGACGTGGTCCGTTCGCCGCCACTAACCGTCGTGGAGGCGAGAAACACCGCCGCAAGTCTGACCCACACCGACCAAATGGAGATCCACTGCACTCGTCCGATCTACTTTTGAAACGTCCAGATGCTAACACTTGCAACATACAAAAAAAGACAGATAAAACACACATGCGTTTGAAACACTTGCAAAAATACCTGAAAAACATTGCAAAACATCCGTAACATTTAGATAAAAAACTTGCAAGATATGTATGAAACATATGCAACATCCAGATAAACACACTTGCAACGTACGTCTGAAAAACATATGAAACATTAGGAACATACACGCTTGCAATTGTACAAACCATTGCAATATATGCAACATCCGGAACTACTTGCAATATCTGTATGAAACATTTGCAATATACCTCTGAAATATTTTAAATGTATGTTTCCAACATGCGCTTTCAACGCAACATCTCTTTGCTGCTTGGGAGAAATAGAGGCGGTGTGTGAAATTCATCGTTGTAGAACTCGCCAATGGTGTGGAGCAACCGACCAAGAGGGTGCGATTGCCATCGAGTGCGGTGGTCGAAACATAGCCGCCCTCCGTTTCTTTGAGCCCAACGATGGAGCTTCGCGTCGTCAAAACCAGCCAAGGGACACCGCAACCTTGAAGTGGACCAGGCAGGGGGCGCGATGGTGCGATGGTCGGAGCGGATCGGAGACGCCCTCCGTTTCTTCAAGCCCGGCGATGGAGCTTCGCGTCATCGATGGACCGGCCAGGGGACACCGTAGCCTTAGAGCGGAGCGGGCAGGGAGGCAGGTACGAACCGCCAAAATGGCACGATGGGGCAGTGGCTAGGCTCAGGGCACCACCAACGGGGCAGATTACAGACTCCGGGAGGCGCTGGCGAGGCTGGCGGCCAGTGGAGGAACCCCATGGCTGTGTCGCTACGGAGCATGATCGTGGTGGAGCACCATTGCGGTGTTGCGATGGAGAGCCTTCTAGAGAATGGAGAGAGGGATAAGGTTAGAGGCAAGTGGACAAAGAGGATAGAACTGTTGGGCCATTGGGCTGGTGCCGCTGTCCATGAAAGCGACCGTCAGAACGATCAAACGACCTGACTAGAGCATTTTCATAATCTAAATATCATTTTTGTTTCTCAAACACGCAGGAGAGCTGTGCATTATTTCATTAAAAATAAGAAGAGTTGCGCATTATTATTTCATTTAAAGAGGAAAAGTACCAAGGAGGGAGAAGAATCCTCCTCCGGTCCTCCCTCATGGAAACACTAGACCAGAGCAACTAGTCTTCCACAAATACTAGACCAAGCAATTAGCCTTATGAAAGCATCTAGGCCCCTAGTTGGGTTTCGGTGATTAATGACGACATGAGATTACTGTGACTGACGTGTGTTTTGCAGAGGCAACTTGAGTTAGGTCATGGTCATGATGATTGTTTGGGCAATTATGGTTTTCATGCCCCTGTTGATGGAAATCATTTCGGTTTTCAAAGGATGGACGACAAGGTTAAGGATAGACTAGTTCTAAGTGTTGTTTGACGTTAGAAAGACACTTAGAGTAGTTTAGGACTTTGTTTTTCCTTTGGTCGTACTATTAAAGAGGGTATTAAATAGTAGCTTGACCTAGGTGAGTCTAATGGGTTAGGTGTGGTGCACACTTTTCAAACTTAGCACTAGGTAGCTCAGGAATAGGCCTAAGATCGATTGGAGTCAAATTCATTCACAAAGGATTTTGAATTGAAAGTGAATGGAGGGTCAAATGATTGATCGAACATTGATTTAGTGTTGATCGGACTCACAGGTGCTACGTTTGGTCAGTGTTCAGCGCGCACAGCAGAAGCCGAGGAGAGACCAAACGCTGCGCATTGATTGGGACCGGACGCGCTGGTGCCTACCACTGTAGCAGCTAGGTCTCAGTGTTGATGAAGGATCGGACGCTGAACAGTGAGCGTGAGGAATGCTATCACCTTGTAATGAAGAAGCTTAATTCATTTGAAATGCTTCCTAGTGAAAGTGTTAATGAAATGTATTCACGCTTGAATGTTCTTGTAGAGGAGGTCAATGGGCTTGGACTCACTCAAATGTAACCATCCGTTGTTGTGAGAAAGATCTTGAGTGTCCTCCCCATTAACAAGTATGGGCATATTGTGACAGTGCTTCATCAAGGTGATCTTTCCACCGCTACACCAACTCAAATATTGGGGAAGATCAATGCACATGAGATGTACATGCACATCACTCCACAAGATGGTTCTTCTTCCACCAAGAAGAAAGTTTTGGCATTCAAGGCTAGCCAAGAGAAGAGGGGCAAAGCAAAAGTTGATCATGATAGCTCAAGTGACGATGAGATTGATGATGCAAGCCTTGCTCTCATGGTGAGAAGAACCGCCAAGATGTTTAAGAAGCTAAACAAGAATGGTATCAAGTTTGATGGCAAGAAGAAGAAATTCTTCACTAGCAGTAGAAGGAAGCCCATCTCCGAAATGGATTGCTACAATTGTGGAGATCTTGGCCATCTAGCCCATCAATGCCCCAAACCCAAGAAAGACAAGTACTAAAAAAGTACAAGGGCAAGAAAGATGACTCAAGTGATGATGATGATGATGAGAAGAAGAACAAGTCATACAAGAAGAAAGATGCCAAGAAGAAGGAATTTTACAAGAAGAAGAATGGCAAGGCCTATATTGTTGGTGATTGGCTCATGGACATTGAATCATCAAGTGGCTCATCCGATGATAAAAGTAAAAATGAGAAGGAGAAGGTAGCCACTCTTGTGATTGGCTCTTCACTATCTTCATCGATACCGCCGTCATCATCCTCTACACATCTATGCCTCATGGACAAGGGTAAACAAAAGGTACAAAAAGTTGATGATAGTAATGGTGATGACAATGCTAGTGATGATGAAAATGGTAGTGATAGAGTTGAAGGATTTGAATCACCTTCTTATGATCTTGTCAAATTGTTAAACCAATACACTAAAATCATTAGAAAGACAAGAGCAAAAATGAGAAGCTAGAACTTAAGAATGACACACTCTTAGCAAAGTATGACATAGCCGAAAAAGCTAGTGATGAGCTTAGAGAAGAAAATAAAATTGTGTCATCCAAACTCAAGGAGCTCAAAACCTCTAAAAGGGAGCTTAGAGAAAAACATAATAAACTTGAGAGATACACAATGAGCTCACCACTAGTTACAACTTGCTAAAAGAAGAGTACACCAATCTCAAGATTAACCATGACAATCTTGTTCTTTCTCATGAGTTATTGTCAAATGAGCCGCATGATGCTACTAACAATGTTGTTAAGATTGATATAGTGTCGGGGACCAAATACTGGGGTACCTAAAGAGGAAGAGCTAATAACCATCAAACGTTGATGCTTCCGAACAAGACAAGAAAGCAACTACACTTCTTGCCCGACGACAGAAGGTTGGCTCCGCCTCGCCCGACCCCTAAGGGCTGGCTCCGCCTCGCCCGATGTCCGAGGGCTGGCTCCGCCTCGCCTGACATCCAAGGGCTGGGCTTTGCCTCACCCAACGTCTAGGGGCAGACTCCACCTCGGAGGGCTCGACTCTGCCTCGCTCGACATCTAGGGGTAGGCTCCGCCTCGCCCGATGACTGAGGGCAGACTCGCCTTGCCGACATCCAGGGGCTGGGCTCCGCCTCACCCGACGTCCGAGGTGCCCCGCACTGCTCCTTTATAATGACGCGCGTGGATGAGGCCGGACACTCAAGTCAACTGCAGTACCGAGGACCATACCCTGCACGTCTATAGGAAAGTACCATCAAGATATGATAGGATGGGCACTTTGAGCCCTTCTAGGCATGTCAGAACCCGAACAGTGTTGTAGGCGCCGATATTTGTCTTACAGTGTTGTGGGCACCGCCATCAGCCCACGTGCGTGGATTTGACATAAGCGTACGACAACCACTACGGTCTAGGAGGAGACTCACGTCCTCTACAGTGATGGACATGCAGTCACCGCATCATCCGCTCCCCGTAGGGTTGTGAATCAACACCCTGTCCGACACGCCGCCCGTTGGGGCGGGATGGGACGTGACCACCTGCTGATCTAGTCAGAGCATGGCATCATCAAGGCGCAGACGCCCAATGAACATGCTATCCCTGACACCATCTGACCATGTCTGCGGGGCTAGCTCAGAGAAAAAGGAAGACCCGACACCTTCGAAGGAGCTTCTTGGCCTCTTGTTTTTCATCTTTCTCCCATCTGTAATCCCTGCTCCCCCTTGATCTATAAAAGGGAAGGCAGGGCACCCCACTAAGGGACGACTCGATTCAACACTCCACACGTCACACATACCTAAGCAGCATCCGAGATCTCAGCACCCGTTTGACCTTTCCATAAGAGACTTGGGCATGTCCCTCTCTCGACCGTTTATACCCCTACTACAAACCTTTCAGTGCA